TCCAGGACATCACATCATATTTGGTTGTTATGTCTTTCTCTTTAGGCTCCTCTTGGTTGTGACTGTCTTTAATGGCCTTGACAGTTTGGAGGAGGAGGAGTGGGGTATTTTGATGGAATTTGTCCCATGTTTCTCTCATGATTAGACTCAGGGGTTGTAGGAGGACAACCATAGAGGTAATGTGTTACTTCATTACATCATATCAAGGGTCCATACTAGTATTATCAACATGATAGATTAACAATATAGGTATAATCTAATAATAATATGATAACATAATATGGACTAAATGAGTAGATTAAGTGGTTCATATGTTTTATTGGGTTGGTTTTTGTGGTACTGTATTCCCCGCCCCGCCAAAGAACCAGTGCTCAGATTGTTTGATTAGTTCTATTTTTCCCTATCTTATTTTGCTTAATTCATGTATTCTTATGCTTTTTTATTGGCTAGTATAAGTAAAACAGGCATAATGGCCTCTGAGCACCAATTTGAGTGAGATCCCCCAGATTCTAATACATGGAATATTTCTTATTATTCTTATTCTCTAGGTATTCTGCAACTTCTATCTAGATCTCTCTTTTTAAAATCTGGGTTTTGTAAAAAAAAGTTTTTTTGTTTGTTTACTGTCATTTTGCTTACTGTTTATGCCATAGTCACATTTAAATTGGCAAAACTGCTCCATGACAGAGAGGACAGAGACCTGTCACGCACAGAAAAGCAAGGGGTGGTTTTCGTAAAGCTTGAGAAACACCGCAATGACACAGGGCTGGCTGCAGCCGCCTGCCCACAGCGCCGAGGGGTGCGAGAGGTAGGAAAGGAGGCTCCGGCAATAGCTGGCCTGCTGCTGCGAGCCTGAGACCATGGCTGCCTCCTGAGGGGAATTCCCTGATGTGCCTGGTAAGCCTGTCATTTGTAAGTAACAGATATAAACAGAGTAGGGAGACTAAAGGAGAGTTTTTAAAAAAGATTCCATGTGGTAGAATTTTGTGATCCATAATTTTGTGATTAATTTCTAGGTTTGCTTCTACTTTATCAGATTCTGTATTACTTCATCTTTTTTATTTGTGGTCTAAAATATGGGAGGATTTTTCAAAGTATACATCCATGACAACTATCTTATTAATTATGCAACTTTGTTTTTTCTGACTTTACCTAATATGGTCTCTTGATCTTCACGAGCTAAAAGAGGTGAATGAAAATCACCTGCCTTGCCGGGACCAGTTTGGCTCAGTGGATAGAGCGATGGCCTGCGGACTGAAAGGTCCCGGGTTCGATTCTGGTCAAGGGCATGTACCTTGGTTGCGGGCACATCCCCAGTGGGGGGTGTGCAAGAAGCAGCTGGTCGATGTTTCTCTCTCATCGACGTTTCTAACTCTCTGTCCTTCTCAATTCCTCTCTGTGTAAAATCAATAAAATATATTAAAAAAAAAAAAAAAAAAAGAAAGAAAGAAAATCACCTGCCTCTGCAGTGTATCTGTCGGTTCTTCCTAGTGTTTCCCATTGCTTTTGCTCGGGATTTTGGTGCTGTCATTTCAATTGTGGGTCATATTCGTTGTTTTATTATTATTATTATTATTATTTTGAGATCTGAAGTTTAGAGGAAGGGAGAAGGATAGAGAGAAACATTAATGAGAGAGAAACACCAATCAGTTGCCTCCTGCACAGCCCCTATTGGGGATGTGCCCGCAACCAAGATACATGCCCTTGACCAGAATTGAACCTGGGACCCTTCAGTCTGCAGGCCAACGCTCTAGCCACTGAGCCAAACCGGTTAGGGCCATATTTGTTATCATTATAAAGTGTTCTTCTTTGTCTTATTTGGAACCATTTATCCTGAATTCAACTTTACTTGACTATGTTAAGGCAATAGTGCCTGTTTAATTTGAGGAGCACATACGTGGTATATATTTGCTCTTCCTTTATTTTCAAAATTGTCAAATCACTTTGCTTTGGGGATGTCTCTGGTAGGAAGCATCCTGTTGAGGATTTTGTCTTGTTCCCCGATCTTAAGATCCTTTCTTTTTAGTAGTTTTATGCTTCCATTGCTTTTTAAAACAAACCCTTTCATGGTATTGTTTTATTTTGTGTTGTGTTCCTGCTAAGAACTGGAAGGTTTGTATTTTTAGTTCTTCTGGAGGAAGCCTTTAGAACTACATAAAATGCATTAAAATATTTTAAAAGACTAGACTAGTTGTCTCCCTTTTGAAAAAGTGATCATAAAATTAGTTTACAAATGTGATCATGATTTTCATGTGCTTTGTGCAGCTTTTTTTCTGGCGAGTTTTCTTGGTTTGCCTCCCCCTCCCCCCGTTCTCCTCCTTGATTTCTCCTCTAGCATATTGCACTGTATTGTGTGCTGCTTGCTCTTGGAAAGGGGCGAACCTTCTCAGATCAGCATTTGCAGGGGATGCAAGTAGAGGAGGCTCATGGGAGTATTCTAGGACAGCAGGGTCGCTCTCAGGTTCATGGTAACTGTTCACAGGACCGTGGCAGGGATTTCTTTTAGCTTCTACCCAGACAGCAGAGACCTGCCGCTATAGCCTTCCCCCCATTCACGCCCCGCTCCCGCTCTGCCTCACCAGCACACTGCTCCCTGTGAAGATGGCTGGTCTGTGGTTCTCTGTTAGCCCTGTCCTCCTCTTCCCTCCTCACCCCCCCCCCCCCCCAACCTCAAACCGACTTTCCCATGAGACCCCACCCCATAAGGTGGTTGGCCTTATGTTCGCATCCATGTTCCTGGGTGGCCTGGGTGTCACAGGAGCTCCCATAGCCAGGGCACACACCCTGTTCCCATTTTTCCTGGTTAGGAACCTTTGTTTTTTTGTTTTGTTTTGTTTCCTTCAGGGAGTATCATCCCAGAGCGATCAGGCAGCTTGATCCGAGCGTGGCAGCCACAGGTGGCTTGTGTGGGTGCTTTCTCACACCTCCTTGGATCCTCACCGCGTTTGGCAGCCCTTTATACTGCTTCTGGCAGCCTCTCCTTAGAAGTTGTGGTTCAGGTTACAAATGTGCTCCAGTTTTGCCGAAGATAGAATTTGCATTCCTGCCTCTCTTCCTCTTTTGTCGTGGGTGATTTGGGATATCCAAAGGCGTACCTTTATCCTGCTAACTTAGAACTGTCTGGGGGTGTGAGTTTTTCCTTGCTCTGTGTACTGGTATTCCTCCAGAGTCAACACTAGCCAGAGCGCTCTGGATGGCGTCTGCGCGAGCTGGAGCTGGGGTCTGACCATAGATAGGAAAGGACATGGGAGTTGAGAGTGAAGTAGGAGGGTTCAAGGAGAAGCCTGCGGCATCTCTGCCTGTGCTGTGTGGCTGCAGGCGTCCCTCCCTTGCACTCTGGCTGGGAGTCGTGCCGCCGTTTGGGTGGGGGGCCCGCGGGGGCAAGGGATGAAACACACCTGTCTCCTGGCCTGTCTCAGGGGAGGATTTTCTGAGCCCAGCAGCTCTCAGGCCAGCGTGGGGAGGGCACAGGCCCCTCCCCTGGACAGGCTGCGGGGCTCAGCTCCCCATCTCAACTCACACCAGGGCCCATCCAAGCACCCGGGGTCTGGCTGGTCTCCTAGTGATGGTGGTCACGTCCCCCTCCCTAAAACTAGGATCCTGCCTCACAGGAGGTTTCCCAGAGTGAACGACAGGGGTTATCTGCCCAAAGAAAGAGCTTGTCCCTCCAAAGAGAAAGCATTCTCCTGGGATGCCCAGCGGATAGACCCAGAGAGGAAAGCCTGCCCACAGGGTCTCAGGCTCTCATGCCACCTGGAGGGAAGCATTTTATCTCCATTTTATAGATGAGGAAACTGGAGTCTCAGAGAGATGGAGGGATTCGGATGCAGTTCTGTTTGGGTCCAGAGCCGGGACACCAGCTCCCTTATACCCCCACTTCCTGCTCATCTTCCCATGGAGACTCCACCCAATCCTCAGATGGCTGCCTTGTGTCCATCTCCATGTCCCTGGGTGATCGTGCTGGATCCTCGCTCTGTGTCTTTACTTCTCAACACTGACTGTTTTTAATTTTTTAATTTTAATTTTTTAAAAATATGTCTTGTTGCTTTTTTTTACAGAGAGAAAGGGAGAGGGATAGAGAGCCAGAAACATCGATGAGAGAGAAATATCGATCAGCTGCCTCCTGCACACCTCCCACTGGGGATGTGCCCACAACCAAGGTACATGCCCTTGACCGGAACCGAACCTGGGACCCTTCAGTCCAGAGGCCGACGCTCTATCCACTGAGCCAAACCGGTTAGGGCTTGACTGTTCTTTAGATGCTATGTAAGCTCCCCAGGTCAGCCAGGGACAGGAGTTGAGAGGCTATCACCTCTGTGTCTCCGGCCCCCATGCCTTAGGCAGCTGTGCCTCCAGCCTTGGGACGGGGCGTGTCCTCTGGAATCAAAGGCACCTGTGCTCCTCTCCAGCCTCAGTGGTCTTGGACAAGTCACTTAATGTCTCCGGGTTTAGTCCACATTTCTATAAAAAAAAAAAAAAATGACCTGGGATTGCTCCAAGGACAGACCATGGACGCTGAAGCCAGGTGGCCTGCGTTTGAGTCCTGGCTCAGCAGCCCCTTCTTAGCTGTAGGACTTCGGTGAATTACTTACCCTGCCTCTTTTAGTTTTCTCATCTCTAATTTGGGAGTCGTGTATATGTCATGGGGTGGTTTAAGGATTAAATAAGCTAATACATGTAAATCATTTTTAGAACAGTGTCTGGCATACGGCACGTATTAGGTAAGCGCCAGATGCATGAATTATTATGAAGGCGTGAAGGGCTCAGCCAAGGCAGGGGCGTCCATGGCATCGATGCTGCTGTGATAACATCTGTGCCCTCTGCTTCCTTCCAGGAGCTTGGGCCCCTGCCCCCGCCCGACAGAGGCTGTGGAGGTGGTAGACCGTCCGGCAGCCTGGTGGTGCCCAGGCCCCCGGCCCATCCCTGGCAGCGGGGCGTGGCAGCTCCCACGAGGTAGCAGCAGCGGAGGCCTGAGCCTGAGCCCCTCCTGGGAGTGAACCATGGGCCAGAAGCTGTCGGGGAGCCTCAAGTCGGTGGAGGTGCGCGAGCCGGCGGCGCTGCGGCCGGCCAACAAGCGGGAGCTGCGCGGGGCGGAGCCGGAGCGGCCGGCGCGGCTGGACCAGCTGCTGGACATGCCGGCGGCGGGGCCGGCGGCGCAGCTGCGGCACGCGTGGAACCCCGAGGACCGCTCGCTCAACGTGTTCGTCAAGGACGACGACCGGCTGACCTTCCACCGGCACCCGGTGGCGCAGAGCACGGACGGCATCCGTGGCAAGGTGGGCCACGCGCGCGGCCTGCACGCCTGGCAGATCCGCTGGCCGGCGCGGCAGCGCGGGACGCACGCGGTGGTGGGCGTGGCCACGGCGCGCGCGCCGCTGCACTCGGTGGGCTACACGGCGCTGGTGGGCAGCGACGCCGAGTCGTGGGGCTGGGACCTGGGCCGCAGCCGCCTCCTGCACGACGGCAAGAACCGGCCCGGCGTGGCCTACCCGGCCTTCCTGGGGCCCGAGGAGGCCTTCGCGCTGCCGGACTCGCTGCTCGTGGTGCTGGACATGGACGAGGGCACGCTCAGCTTCGTGGTGGACGGCCAGTACCTGGGCGTGGCCTTCCGCGGCCTCAAGGGCAAGAAGCTGTACCCGGTGGTGAGCGCCGTGTGGGGCCACTGTGAGGTCACCATGCGCTACATCAACGGCCTGGACCGTAAGTGCATCCCGGGGTCGGCCTGGCTCTGGGGTTGGGGGGGCGTAGTGGGGGGGCGGGGGGGTCGGCGAGGGAAGCTGGACGCAGGTGAGAGGCCCTGCCCGCCATCCATCCGCACCGTGGGGTGACCCTGCCGTGGTGTGCGGAGTGTGGTGAGGACGTGGACGCTGGGGACACGCGGTTGGGTTTGAGTCTTATCTCTCCTTGGCTGGCTTTGTGATCCTGGGCGGTGCCTCAGTTTCCCCACTGTTTGTAATTATGGCTAGGGCTGCTGTGTTCTGTGGTGAAGATCAAATGAGATAATACCATAGGTGAAGTCATTAGTAGAGTGACTGGCACCTGATAGGGGCTTAAAAAAAAAAAAAAAAAAAATATATATATATATATATATATATATATATTTAATTGATTTTTTTACAGAGAGGAAGGGAGAGTTAGAGGGATAGAGAGTTAGAAACATCGATGAGAGAGAAGCATCGGCCAGCTGCCTCCTGCACACCCCCTACTGGGGATGTGCCCGCAACCAAGGTACATGCCCTTGACAGGAATCCAACCCGGGACCTTTCAGTTCGCAGGCTGACTCTCTATCCGCTGCGACAAACTGGTTTCAGCCTACTAAGGGTTTTGAGTGTGGATGCTGACTTTGAATCCTCAGGCCTGTATGAAAGTTATGCAAAACGAGGTCTCCCCGTGTGCCCGGCCTCCTGCTCACAGCAGAAGGGGAGTGGCCAGTTAGAAGGCACAGTCCCTGTACTTAAGCACCGTGCATGGAAGTTACTGATAAATAATAAGTAACGATCACAGCTATCATTTATTGGCCACCTGCTGTATGTGGGGCTAAACACCCCGATTCCGGCTCTTCCTGGTGACCTGTCTGTTAAAGGGGACAGTTGCCTCTGCTCTCTGGCCGATCAGCGCCTTGATGGGAAGGAGAGCTGCATGTTGCGTAATCTTCTGGTTTTTCAAGAGGACCCAGAAATCTAGATTTTGTGTGAGCTACCACAGTCTTAAAGTTGGTGGCTGCTGAAAACAGCACGTGGGCCAACAAAACACCCTTGCAGGCTGCAGACTAGCCTGTAGGCTGCTGGTCTTGACTCCTAACAGTTCTAAAGTCTCCCTGCATTGAACATACAGTTATCCTGCGAGGCCGCAGTCCCAAAAATGGTTCCTGGTTTTAGGATGGAGTCACCCCTGGAGGCAGGGTGGCCTGTGGACAGAGGGGCACAAGGATGTCTGTCCCATAACAATGCAGGACCCTGTGGGCTCGCACACTCCTTGTCCAATCAGAGGTCCTGCCGCACCCCCGATAAAGCTCACAGCCCTCATATACTCACAGAGGTGGGTGCTGAACGCCAGCATTTCACTTTTACTCATTTTAAATGAGAGCCATAATTGTCCCCATTTTAGCGATGAGACACTGACTGGTGGGGCTACAGAGAGCTGGTACCAGGTCTCCCTGGGTGTGTCAGCCTCTGGAGCCCTCTCTTTCACGCTTCCCCCCCTAAGTTGAGGGACTGAGGGTAACACTCAAGGAAAGCCAAGAGCAAGGTTTTACTCAAGTAAGATTTATACTTACATGCAGGGTGGGTTAGTGTTCGAGGGTTTCAGGCCAACACACGTGGCCGGTATGCTCAGCTCTCTGGTATAACCCGTGGCATTCTTGCTCGCATTTTGTTTTTCTAGCTGCTGGACTGAGATTGCCGCTGAACGGCACAGTGTTGTTCCGTTTGCTCTGATTAACGGGTTAAATCCGGGAGCGGACGAGTGTGTCCTGGGAAGGCTGGTTTAGTCATCCCAGTGCCTTGTGGAGAATGTCGGGCCATGGGGACCGGGCACACGTCAGGGCTGAGGAAACCGACACCAACAACACTCTGCTAAAATCAGACTTGGGAAACGTCCTTGCCAGAATTAATCCCTGGGCCAGACAGGTGGGCCTGGGTACGGCTCTTGAGTCTGATCTGCCTTATTTCCAACTGCATCCTTCACTGTGTCTTTGGAAAAGTGGCTGCCTCCTTGTGTCTTTGGTGCGACAGTCACTCCAATGCCTTGCGACTCATTTCACTCATCCGAAAATTGGGACAGTATCAGATCCTTTGCATAGCTACGGTGAGATCTGGTGTTGGGGCACCAATCATATAGTAGCTGTGATGAAAGGCTGGCATTGACACCCTGTGGGAGCTACCTGAGCCAACAGCCGGGCCCCTCGAGGTGTGCCTCTTCCTGGGCATTGATTCACACTTGGGTATCACCTGGTGCTTGGTTTTCAGGTTCAAAGCTAAGGTGCTAGCAAGGTTGCAGCCAGCGGCTCTCCCACACACGATAGGATTGGAGCAATCTAGCCTCGGTGTGCTGCTGGGGGCGGGGGTTTGTGCGGGGAAGAACAGTTGTGTTTGGGGCATTGTGAACTCCTGGATCCTTCGGATGGCTAAAGAAACTCGAGACTGAAATTTGGAGTGTTCCATCCTCCACCCTGGCAGTGATTTTTTTCCCGTGTGGGCTGAAGCTGGAATGCCCATCCAGGACTCCAGGGGAGTCCAGCGTGCCATGGGATGTGAGCCTATGGCATCTCCCATTCGGTGACAGAATTGGCTGGTCTGCTGTGCCATGGGCCTGCCCCCCAGATAGGGGTCCTGTTCTCTGACTCAGGCAGGGTCTGCCGGCAGAAAGGGGAAGTCAGCTTCTCCGGGCTTCCGAAGGCCCATGGTCAGTGGGACAAGACCTGACTATAGGATGGGCCATAACGCAGGCTGCAGTGGAGTCTGGCAGGAGCTACTTGGGAAGGGACTCTGCGATGCCTGTAGCTGGCGACCTGGGCTGAAGTCCACCTGTGGGACCCTGGGCAGCGGGAAGGGTTTGGCCCTAGGGAGTCTCTGGGCAGGGACCCAAGGTGGGATTCTGTGCATGAGAATTCTGAGTCCTCAGCGGTCGTGGAACGACGGCAGGTCCCCAAACCCAGACCCTCCTGGGATGTGGCCGCAGTTAGAGACAGGCTCAAGAGCAGAGATCATGGGGCTGAACTCTGCCCAGGGCCCTCCCAGAGCCAGGCACCCTCCAGGAGGCCAGGGACGGCGATCACCTCCTCTCTCTGAACCCATTGTTCTTTGTAAAGCTCGCCAGCACAGAGCAGGCAGGCACAGAGCGATCCGTGCTCACTGCTTTCATTAACTAGGTGAGCTGGGCCGGGTCCTGGGGTTCGCTTATGGATGAAAACAGAAATGGCCTGGGTAGAGGCTTCTCCTCCTCTAATGTGATTAAAGTAAGCTATCCCATTTCCTCAATTTTTGAATATTTATGACCGTAAAAGCATGACTTAGAAAGCGCTAACTGCATTTAACTCTGAAGCCTGTGTTCATTGAGGGAAGAGCTCCCGGAAGTGCTCTCTCCGTTGCAAATGCGGGGGAAGCCGCTCAGCACCTGGGGTTTGCTCTAAAGAGCTGCAGGCCTCCCGGGGCCTCTGCTACCCGAGTGAGCCGAGAACGGAAGCTAGGCCAAGCAAACGGGCAAGCTGTCTCCAGGCGACGACGGGTCCAATGCCCAAATAATGACAGCAGCAATAACGGATACGTATATACCCTGTTTCCCCGAAAATAAGACAGTGTCTTATATTAAGTTTTTCTCCCAAAGTTGCGCTAGGTCTTATTTTCGGAGGATGTCTTATTTTCGGGGAAACACGGTAATAACAGCAAAAACTAATACAATGCTTAGTCCGTGCTGGACTGCATTCTAAGCACTTTACAGATTCTAACTCAGTCCTGGTGACAACTCCGTGAGCTAATACCTGTGTTGCCACCTTCATTTTACGATGAAGAATTGAGGCGCCGAGAGCTTGAGTCAGTTGCTCACACAGCTAGGAACTGAGGGAAGCAGGATTCACACTGGCAGACTGGGCCAATGGGTCCCTTGTGGAGCTGTTTGCATACAAGGCAGGAAAAGAACGGACCGAAGACGGTGCTTCCCCCACATCCAGTTGCAGCAAAGGGCGGGACCCTTTCCTTTAGCTGTGAGTTCCGGGGAGGTCCTGAGAGGCTGTCCCTGTGCTTCCTCCTCCCTCCCAGCACCCAAAGCTCTTGGCTCAGCATAGAGTTCCTCTGGGTGCTCCCAATAGCCCGTTGCATACAGGGAGCCCCAGCTCCCTGTTGCATACAGGGAGTCCCGCGAACCAGGCCTGCTTTGATTGCTGACGAAAATGTCCCGACTGCTGTGAGGTTCGGCCCCTGCGGTGGGCCAGGCCTTTGGGATCCGCTCCAGGCTGGTTTCAGGAATCGCTCCTGGGCTCATGCTCCTGGCTCCTCCTCCATGCTGGCTGCCAGGAGGGCTGACACACCGGCTTTGTCTCCCATCTTGGAGTTCTTGGGTGGTGAGTGGTATGTGAGTGGCACAGGAAGTGGAGAGGAGCCACAGAGGGAGACAAGCAGGCTTGGAGTCCTGGGCAGTTTTGATTTGAGGGCCATAGTGATTTAATTATGCCTTTTAAAAGATACCGCCCACGTTCTGTGCCTGAGGCCAAGTGTTGCGCTCATTTTATTCTTTTGTCGTGTGTGCGTGTGTGTGTGTGTGTGTGTGTGTGTGTGTGTGTGTGTGACACAGTAAACCTTGAGGCAAGGTGACTGTTATCATCCCCATTTTACAAAAGGAAACTGATTCTTGGAAAGTGAAGAATTTGCCCAAGTAGCAGAGCTATACTTAAAGCCAGGTCATAACCGCTCCCGTGCCCGCCCCGCAGCCTGGGCCAGCCCTGCCTCCGCTCCGCCCACAGCTCAGGGCTCGGTTCCACGGAGCAGGTGCCAGTGTCCTGGGCTGACTTTCTGAGGGTGGAGAGTGGGCACCGTGGGATCTCGGGCCTGACTGGCAGAGAGACCCGTCTGCCTGCATCGAGCCGGGGAAAATGTGTTTCCAGACGCAGTTCCTAGATGGTTTAATTGATCTGCCAACAACTATTTATTGGCGCGATGGCTCAGCAGAGGAGGCTGGCGGCCAGCCAGGGTTCCCGGGATTGATGA